AAATATATATAAATAAACATATATATAAATAAACATATATATGTTGTATATGTTATATAAACACATATATATGTTATATGTATGTATATATAAAATATATGAGAATCAGGATAAAACCAGAGAAACTCAATGTCATTATTAAAAAATAAATTACCTGATCAAAATGTTTCTCAACACAAAATTATATATATATATATAAAACACTCAGAGCGGCCCCATGCAAAGTGCGAGCTGAGCACGTGCTGTTGAGCTCAGGACTGGCAGACAGCACTCAGCTCACCTGCCAACTTCATCCGCTGGTCACGCCTGCTGGGAGCCCCGTAAGGAAGCTTCCCCAAGCTTCCAGGGCGCTGGTCCCTGGAGTGGGAAGCACATTGGCGACCCACTGGTCATGTCTGCCATGGTCAGGGACCCAGCAAGGCAGCCCAAGTGCCAGGAACTTTCCACCCCAAGATTAGTCTCCATAGGCCATTCCAGCACTGGCGTTGCAGACTCTTACTAAGTCACTCCCTGGCTAGGCAGAATACTGGAGTAGAAAAATACTGGGCTGGAAATCAAGAGACCTCTGAATAACACACACCACTTACGTTGTAATTGTTTTCAGGTCTGTCTCCCCTCCTTCGGGAAAGGGAGTCTTTTATGTCTGGCGTTGAGAGAACAGATGAAAGATAAATGGAGCCAGTACTTGAGTCCTAGCTCTGCCACTAATTCACTCTGGGCCTCGGTCTCCCCAGCCATAAAATGAGGGGGTTGGACTTGGTGACCTCGAGGTCCTGTTAGCTGTGACCAGGCCTTGATTCAGAGAGGTCCCCCGGGCTGCCTAGGGAATTCTAGAAGTGAGTGCCTTCCTGGCTTTCCTGCTTTCCCCTCACTCTGAGGCTCGCTTAAAGTCCTCTCCCCGAAAGGGACGGAACGGGACTTAGAACCCTGGCAGCCAGGGGAGCCCACCCCACCTTGAAGCCAGCCCACTTGGGGTTCCTCACCACTGGAGCTCTATTGTCCTTGGCCAACGCCTTCCCAAGCAGAAGTGTCCTTAAACCCAGAGAGCTGGTGGGGACCTGGACACATCTGATCCAACCGCCTTTCGTTAGCCAAGTCGGTGCCCAGAGAGAGAAAGGGAGTCACTCCAGTCCCAGAGCACATTAGAAGGAATGCTGGCCCGAAGGCCACCCTGGGGCCCAGGTCTCTGCACCTGGCAGTGTGGGGGAGGCCAGAAAAACCTGAAGCCAGGAGGGGAACCCAGATCCCTGAACCCCAGTTGACAACTTTATGTGGTCCAGGGCTGTCGCCTCTGCCTTGGTGGGGCTGGGCAGCTCACAAAAGGCCCATTGCATACCGGGGGCAGAGCTGCGATGGGCCTCATAGCTCTGGTGTCTCAGCCACACTGATCTTGCCCCATGGAAAGAAAACATTTGTCAAAGGCCCTCAGTTGGCCACGGCTGGATTAAGTACATTTGCGGGAATAAGTACATTTGCGGCTTCCAAGGTGAGCTGTTGTCTCAAATGGCTGCAGCATAATGAATGTCTGAGGACCCAGCAGGTCGCTGGGGAAGGCATCCCAGACCCTCCGGCCACTCCCAGGCACTGGTTCACCCCACCTCGCCTCGGGGATTCCCAGGATGGGGAGGGATAAAGGGGCAATTTTTTCTCATCATTAAAGGGCAGCAGATGGCCGGGGGCGGAGTGCAGTATCTGCTCAGGGCAGCGTGACAGATCACAGCGCTTGGGAAGAAGCACCCCATATCTAATTGAAAATCCCAGGGAACCTTAGGTGGGTCTAGCGTAATTACCCAAATTGGAGCAGGGCCAACCTGGCTTGATGCTTCGCTCTGGCAGTGACAGGGCAGCTTGTCTGTGCAAAACCAGTGGCTTTAAAGCTCCAGGAAGCAGTGAGGGGTTAGGAAGGTGTCACTGGGTGTTTCACCTCCTGGCTGGAGGTTGGAGCACCAAGGAGGAACTATTTTGATCTCCAAGAACCCTTGTCCTGACTCACCCCATTCACTGAGTCATCGCCACGATGGGGAACGAAGGCCTGGGCAGGGGAACCATGGCCAACACCTCCTTTCTCTTCCAGAGCCCCCACACAAGTTGGAAAATGCTCGGGCTTTGGTCAGCCAGGCGACCATAGCAAGGAGGCAGCCTCGATGGGTTTTTCAGCTAAGAGGCCCAGAAATGTGGGTGCTAACACCTGCCCCGTGGGGTCTACTCACACCCACCATCAATGTGCCGCTCACCCTGCTGGCCTGGTGGGGCACGTGGGTTACTTTGTGTTATCCTCACAAGCACATTGGAGGTATCCTGAACCCAGTTTTCTGGGTTGAAGTGTATTCTGGGGAGCTGAGCTCACAGCACTGGGGTGTGGGGAAGTGGCGGCTGAGGGAGCCTGCCTGGGGGGCCTGTGCTTACTCCCGCTCTGCCTCCCCAGGAGACACGGCCACCCTCGGGACTAACAACCGCTCACCCTTGGGACCCAACCGCTCACGCTAGGGACTAACAACCCCAGGGAGAGTGGACGACCCCCCGATTCTTCCTGCACCCTGAAGAAAGCAGACCAAAATGCCATCCCTGTAGGCCAGAACCCTACTCAAGATTGGGAAGCCAAGCAAGCCAGTCCAAGACAAATAAGAGCAGGGAGCCCCCCTTCACATGTGTGGGCAATCTGGCACCTGGGGTTGTGCTTCTGGAAACAGGGGATGGTTCTCAGATGTTCCACCACTACTCCAGGAGGCCCCGGGACCTAAGTGTGATTCGGCTTGACACCTTCTCAAGGAAGCCACATACAGATGAGAAGGGAACAGGAGGCGAAGCGAACCTTTTCAGGGGCCAGACAGCTCCAGGCACACACGTTTTATTGCATTTTGCAGATACCACACTTATACTAGTGAGAGCGCTGCAGTGGCCACGTGACCCCCGAGCCCGGGCCGGCACCGTCTCCCCCAGCAGTAGCGTCCACGTCTTGTCTCTCGCCTTTTGGCCACGCTCACCCTATTTCAAACGTCTTCACGATTGCTCTGTCTGTTCTGGCGGTGTGTGACGTGGTCTTTGACAGTACTATCACTAATTGTTTATTGGTGCCATGGACGCTCTCAGAAAGTATGCAGTGGCACACTTCGTCCACAAAGTGGGTGTTCTGCCCGCTCTGCCCCCAGCCATTCCCATCTCTTCCTCTCCTGGGCCTCCCAATGCCCTGAGATCCAACAGTATTGTAGGGGCACAGCATAACCCTACAACAGCCTCTGGTGGTCCAGCCAGGGGAGCGTCGCACGTCAAAGCTGGAAATGATTGAGCTGAGTGAGAAGGTACATCAAAGAGTCAGCAGGCTGGAGCCAGGCTCTGGAGCCAGTCAGCCCAGCTGTGACCGCAGAGGGAAAGTTCTTATGGAAATGGAACGTGCCCTCCCGAGCACCCAGGAATGGTAAGGAAGCGAGACGGGCTGGTCGCCGAGGTGGCTTTTGTGGGCTGGACAGGAGATCGAGAGCCACCACACCCCAGAGCCAACGCTGGATCCAGACACGGGCCTAGCTCTGACTCTGTGCGGCCGAGGGAGACCAGGAGGCCGCAGAAGCCACGTCTGAATCCAGCGGAGGTGGGTCCGTGGGGTTGTGGGGAGACGCCCTCCCCACTGCCTAGCCGCACCAGGCCGGGCAGCCAGTGCTGCCCGAGACGCTGCAGCAAGTTCTGCGGAAGCTTGAGGTCCCTGGGGCGGGGCCGTGTGCGCGACAGTTTTCCCGGCAGGTGGAGCAGCCTGAAGAAGAGGCCCTGGGACTTGGAGGGAGAGAGGCGGGGCCCGTGCTGCTCCGCCAGAGGGCAGACGGCTCTGAGGGCTGCTGTAGCTGGTGATTTCGGTCGAAGCCCAGCGCTCATTACCACTCTGAAGATCCAGGGCCTTTAAGAAATCAGTGCTAGATGTTGATCTGTTAACAACATGGTTTACTAAACATTTTAAGCCCACTGTTAAGGCCTCTGCTGCTCAGGGGAAGAAGATTCCTTTTGTAACCTCAAACACGGGGTTTCTGACACTTCCCCCAAGTACAATGCTTTTGAGTAAGTCATTGGCCACACGTGTGCCTCACAGACATCTGCTTGGGGCTTTGATGCTCAGTTAAAGAGCAAAAAAGTGTTCCAGGGCAAAAGGACCCACAGCTGTAAGCTCACCAGGCCAATTGGAGCCTCCCAGCACCCACAGGAAAACCCCCTCGCCCCTCCCCTTTATTAATATAACCTTGCAACTGGCTCGAGGAGACGACTTTCCACGAGTTTCCAGCTTCACTGTGGCCGTCACGGTGGCGCTATCAGAATAAAACATCCTTTGTAAAAAGTCTTCATTGTTCAATCTTTGGCTTTCTGAGCAATGAGCAAGTCAAAAACATTTTCAAATTCTCTCTGCTCATTGACGATTCACCTGGTCACTGAGAGCTTTGCTGGAAGTGGCTGTGGCGATGCCTGTTGCTTTTGTGCCTGCTCACAACACCCCGGGAGCAGGGGTCCTTTTGCCATTCAGCTCTCACTGTCTGAGAAATAGACTTCATAAGACTATAGGCTGTCACAGCCAGTGATTCTGCTAATGCAGCTGGCTCAACCGAACGGAAAACCTTCCCGAAGGATTCACCACTATCGCTGCCGGTAAGGACATGCTGGTTCACCAGAGCTGGGTAGAATGTCAGCATTAACAGGAGTTGGGAAGGAGTGGGTTCCAACCCTCATGCATGACTTTGAGGGTGCAGGATGTCAGGGAGGAAGTCACTGCAGATGTGGTGGGAGCAGCAGCGAGAGAACTGGCATTAGAAGGGAGCTGGAGACATGGCTGAGGAGGGTGGAACTTGAATGGGAGAGGATTTGCTTCTTACAAATAAAGGGAGCAGGGCCCTCCCGGGTGGCGCAGCGGGTTAAAGCACAGCACTAAGAAGCTAAAGCCGCTTCAGCATGAGTTCGATCCCCACCCTGGAGGTGACCCACAGGGCGTGGCAGACCTCTCCTGTCCCGCCTCAGCAGGACTGCTCCCCTCAGCAGTGTACTTCGTCAGTCTGCCTGTTCTGGCCTGTTCTGCTCCCCACTCTGGTGACTCCTCTCACTGCTCCTGCACCTCTGGCCTGTACCCCAGTTCTGTGTGCATAAATAAATCTTTAAAAAAACAAAACAAATAAAGGGAGCAGTTGCTTGAGATGGAATCTACTGGCGAGGATGCTGTGAATGTTGAAATAACAACAGAACGGGGATTCAGAAGACGGCATACACTGTGTTGATAAGGATGAACTCCAATTTCCAAAGAAGTTCTCAGTGGGTGAAATGCTAACAGACGGCATTGCGTACGCAGAGGAAAGAAAGATAAATCTCCCCACAAACTTCACTGTTGTCTTCACTTCAGAAATGGCCACCATCACCATGGATAGGATGTTTTGGCGATGAAGTATTTTTTTAAATAATATAATAATTTATTTTTACATCATTTTGTGCCTTTTTCCATCTCAGCTGTAATCCCCGTGGGCTTCCCATCACCAAATCACCCTGTGCCGTCACCATAGTCCAGTGCACTCCCCTCCCCGCCCCCATTTTTGATCCCATCCCCCACTCGACCCCATTAAATGTCTCTGGTATATGGTTGTTCATTATTACTATTATTATTTTCTCCCCTGGTCCTTTATACTCCTGCCATAGTGAAACCATCCGGTATTTTTCCTTTTCTTTCTGGCTTATTTCACTTAAGCATGATCTGATAAAGTATTTTTTCAATGAAGGTATGTACTATTTTTTACATAATACTATTGCATGCTTAATAGACTACAGTGTAGTGAAAACATAACTTTTATATGGAAACCAAAAAATGTGTGTGACATTTATCACGATCATCATTTTATTGCAATGTTAATATGGCCAAAGTATCCTCACCCTTCTCCCTCCAGGGGCCCAAGGAAAATAAAACAGAACTCAAATGTGAGAGACTGGAGTTTGGATGACTCCCTCCAATCTGCAAATATTTAGCTGTCTCTTTGCTTTACATAATTTCTGTATCATTCAACAGAGACAGATGCTTTTCCAGAATAACCCAGAGCGCGCTTCCATTTTATCTTCTTGCTTTTAAATGAAATTTAGATTTTTCAGTTTCATCCTTTCCATGTCAGTTTTCAAATATGTGTTTTGGACTCCTCTGGGGGTCGGTTAACTGGATTTCCAGGTCCACTGCCCCATCCGGGCACTTCAGTAAACTTGGGGGATGTGGGTGTCGGGATGGGAAAGACCTTCCCAAGTTTTTGGGTTTCCATATAAAAGTTACATTTTCACATGGAGAGTGAAGGTCAGGGAGACACAAGGAGCAGCCGCAGACCTAAGAGCCAGGTGGGACCAGTGACCGGCCTGGAAGGACAGCCTCTCCTAGCTGAGTCTGAGGGGAAGGGAGACTGCATTGAGCAGCTTCCATAAATTCTCAGAGAACTGAATAAGCTCCTGGGGCAGAGGTTTGCACGCAGTGTTCTGGGCTTGTCCTCTGCTGTTCACAAAGCATCACAGAGAACCAGTGAACCCCAACGACCCCAGAAGCACTGCATCATGGCCCCCGCTGGAAGAATGGCCACATAGCCCGGGGCCCAGACACCCAGCACTTTGGGCCAGTGCGCCCCCTTGCTCTGGAGTCCTCCCCGGGGGGCCTCACTGCCGGCTCACCTGGGCACCCCTCAGCCTCCAGAACAGGGAACGGCCTGTTGACTGACAGACGCAAATGCCGTCAAATGAGAGTATTTCAAACCACTCATCCAAACTGGAGCAAAAGCCAAATGACTCTTGTGTGGGGAAGGCAGGTAGATGCTGGGTGTTCTCCACTCTCCGCTCCCAGTTTCTGTGAGGAAGCTGCTAGACTTGGGCAGGAGGCTTTGGCCACACTGAAGAGCGGCTGTATCCTGCACCCCAACCCACCTGCGGGGTATGGCACAGCAGCATCTGTTCCGAGCTCTCATCTCATCCTTGCAGAATCCTCATGAGGAGAAATTGTCTTTTTTTTTT